TTTTAAGCGAAGCGAACGGGACCCAAATGTCCCGGCCCATTCTTCATTTTCTTATCAGAAAAAGTCTCTTTTATCATCTGGTGTTGCTGAGAATGCAAGGACTCCACTAGACTCTCGAAGCGTCCGTTCCCCAAGAGAGGCGACGCGCCGATGATTTCTCGACTCCCCGCCGGATTCACTACTTCTCCTCGCCGTTGGTGGCCTTTTTAGTGCCGATGTGCTTGGGGAACGGCGAGTCCGATGAGTGATGTACATATCCTCTTCTAATAGAGTAGTTTTACCTAGAATAAGGTTAGATTTCTTACCGGTGCAGATGTTGTCGGTAAGCTTTTGTCCCTTCCAGAGTTTCTCTACTATTGTCTGTGTTCGTGGTGAGTGAGTCCTGGTGCTGTCTGAGGTGCATGTGGTGATCTTTTGCGGGGTCTCAACATCGATGGTTATGTCATTGATTTTATCTTCTGCATTGGTGTTCGGTTTTCCTGTGATTTTCTTGGTGCTGTTGGTGCCCATGGTGCCAAAGATAGTGCTGGACCTGTAATCCAGAATACGACAATGAATATATGGAGAAATTTTGGAAGGAATGTCTACCAACTTGTACAGAAACTGGGTTGGGTTTGGATCCCACCTTCTCCGGTGGTTTTGCTTCCCTTTGGGTTGTATCTTTCTTCGGTGAGTCAGGGCTGCTGGTGGCCTTTGAGGCGTCAGATTCCTTGTTTTACCGGCGATGTGATGGCCGACGGCCATATTCTTCAGCCAGGACGTTCAACGAGCTTACAGCATGTCGATGCACTCGATATGCAACTCATGGTGGCATCGAAAAATTGTGAAGAGCTTTCGTCCGGAAGGGAGTTGGCTTCAAGCTGCAGATTGCTCCGATCACCGGCGACAAGGTCAACCGGGAGGACCATGATCTTGCAAGGACTGGGCTGTAGTTTCCTTTTCCCTGAGAGGGTCTTTGTAAGATTTGGTGTAAACATTAAGAAGTTTATGTAATATATTTTCTTGGTTTCTCAAAAGAAAAATCAGGTGTTGCTAAAAAAAATCTATCATCTGGTTTGATTTTTGCTCTCAATCCGAGCATCTTGCCTCTTTAACTCTCAACCATTTAAATCGCTTCCCTATCTTTTCAAGGGAGATATTTTTTACTTAAAAAAATATGGTAAATACTTGATAAGGCTTTTAAACAATGAGAAATATCTCTAAGCTTCTATTTTTTTTAAAAACAAATTATAGAGATACATTCAGATACGGCAAACCCAGATAAAATATTTAGAGCTTGTAAAAACATATCTAGAAGCATCCCAAAATTAGATTTAAATCTAGAAAAAGGGGGGAAAATATCTAGAAAAAAAGCCAAAACATCATAAATCAATGCATAGAAGCATTTTGAAAACTTTGCACAACAAAAAAAAACGAGATGCAACTTGCACGAATGCATTGATAAATGTTTTTTTGCATTCAAGCTGGTTGCGTCTTGTATTTTTACCGCAAAAAAGTTTTAAGATGCATGCAAACATCAATTTGAATGTTTTAGGAAATTTCAAGTTCTTTTGGACATTTTTCTATTTTTAAGAGCTAAATCTAATTTTAGAAGCTTCTAGAGATATCTTCACAAGTTCTAAATATTTTATTGTGATTTGTCTTGCCACAATCTACCTTTAAGATTTTATCAAAATTTATAGAATCTTAAATACACTCTCGTGGTTAAAAAATGTTATCAGACATTTTTTGAAACTTTAAACTAAAAAAAGATGAATCCGGTTTGAAAATCAACTGAGAGGTGAAAGAAGGCAGGATGTTTGGTTTTAAAGCTAGAGGAGAAAAATCAGGTCATGGTGACAGTAAAGACTAAAGAGAGATGACGCTAGTTATGACCACTATCCGTGGGAACTCTTAGCACGCTCAGTCGTTGTTAAGGCTAGCAGCAAATGAAGTCCATCAGCTATTCAGACATATAAGGAAAGTAATCAAGAGGATGAATTATCAGAGATGTTCATGGGCTTCATACAAGGAGAGAGACTAAGAAAATAACATGCAACAAAAGAAAAGATATTCACGACAGAAAAAGGAAAGATCAGCCACCCAGAAACTGTGCGTAACTTATACGATTGTGCTACCCGGCCGGGGCCGTCTCCTGTCAGAACTCAGCCACTCGCCTCCCAGGTACCAGCAACCCGCTGATGTATCTCCTTTTCTCGGATTGATCGATCCAGGCGTATGTATAACTCCCAGCATAGTTACCAGGATCGTATTGGAGAAGATACGGAGAGATAGATACGTTTTTTGGACACAGAAATTCCTTTTCATCATCCTCTTAATCTAATTTTTCTGATCGTTTTACTAATATGTACCGATTTAATTAGCTTAGCTCCCGCATGCGTTGTTTGTTCGGTGTATGCTCCTTTGACTAGGTTTTTGAACTAATTATTAGGTGCCATAGATGTTTGATTTGGAACCAAACAGTCAACATCGATCAATGATGCCTTTCGTATCCTTGCAGATCAAAGATTGCAGTTTAAAGTGAAAACACCAAAAGAAAAAAACACCGTCTGGATAAACTTAACATTAGGATTTGAAGAACAAGGCAGGCACCAAGGTTCAAGGGGCATAAGAATGTTTTCTTGGACAACATTTTATTTGAAGTAAGCAGCTTCAGATGTAAAAGACGAACTGCAACAGTTCCAGGTTACTTCTTTCAATTCAATGGAAGGATCAGATCACCTGCACAACGATAAGAAAAGACTGATATAGTTACAAATGCAGTTCAATACACAATGCTTTGTTAACGTTGATTGTCTATTCCATAATTAAATTTTAGAGACACACAAGGATCGACATGGAACAGAGCAACCAACATGAGAGGAGACAGAAGAATGATTATGCATACCCATGAAATGTGCAATGATGTAAACAAACAAGAAAAAGAACCTGTTTCAATGAAATATTGCAATCTGGAACTAAGAAATAATATGTGAACAAAACAGACAACAGAGCTATATCCAATATTCCGCAATTGTTGTGACTTGTGAGAATAGTAATATCTTCTTTTCTTTTCATCAGTGTGAGAACATTACTGAAGATAGTGGTGGAAAATGACGTCCATATTAAAATTAATAATTTTTTTACTATTCATACCAAACCCAAGAATCAAGCTTAACATTACATAAAATGATACAAAGATGCTCTTCATTATTCCCCCGAAAAAAACATTTTATCTAGGCAGCATACATAGACTTTGGAGCTGTATGGATGTATGATGTTTTCCAGTCTTCTTCAGATATTCACAAGTAGTAGTGAGTATGATCAGCCATTCAATTTGTCCTTAGCTCCAATCACCCGTTCAAAACTGGTACTAAAACTCTTCATACAACAACACTCTGAAGGCCCAGAGTCTTTCATAGTTTCATGTAATCATTGTTCTAGGCTGAATTAGTAGGGAGGTAACCTGGATACTTACAGCCTGTTCGGGAGGCCGTATCGTATCGTGGATTATTTACTGCTGGCTGGTTTGGTGTGAGAGAAAAACACTGTTCCTGGCTGGAAATTTACGATCGTTTACGAGCAAGCGAACAGGCTGTTAATATCCTCTATTTTGTTGCATCAGAGTAAAGATGTTTAAGTTAAACCAGCACAAATAGTAAGTCGAGTCAGGTTCTAAACCTCTCATAAGAATCTACTGAAAACAGGTATAGAAAGTAACCTCTCATAAGAGTCAGGTTCTAAACCTCTCATAAGAATTACTAGTTGACAGCTACCACTATTAATGGGTACAACCAAGAAATTAGATTTTTAACTCAGCTGTTTGACACATAACCTGGGCCCAGGCATGCAACACCTAACAGGCAAACAACACTGCTGCCATCTTCACATGTATCCAGTTCCCTTCACAATTCAAGTCTATGTAATATGGTGATAGCACAACCAATTTGCTAGAGGACATGAGGATTCATGCTCAGCAAGAGAAAATCCTTATAAATACTTAAATGGAAAAAGGCAGTTCACATACAGAGACAACTGAAAATCTTCCTGTATTTATCGTTGCCAGTTTAGCACTCATTCTATTATATTCCATTCTCTACTTCCGGTTATCCCTCCCAGGTTACTACTGCCCCCCAAAATTGCAGGAATGCAGAGTGATTGCATTGTATTTCCAGAATCACAAAAAGCTCTGGAATGAATTTCGGTGTCCACCACACAGATTCATTAATGCACAACATTCATAGAGAGGAAAACATTTCATTTGAAGCTACGCTTAGTTTCAGCAGGCCTCACCTCTCCAATCCAGGAACAGAAACACGAGAAGCCGAGGCAGCAGCGCCGCTACTCCGCCTCGACGGTCTTCTTGGGCTCTGCGAACCAGAGAAGAAGCAACCACCAGATAAACCTATCGATCATGCCGATCAAAAAAAAAAAAAAAAGGTAAGACGGGGCAGGAAGGGGTTCGGACCGTGGAACTCGGGCGGGCGGGCATCCTTGCCCCAACCCACGCCGCGGGTAGCCTCTAGGTACTGTTCGACGAGGTGGCGGCATTTCTTGTGGTGGTTGATGCCCTCGATGCGGTAGCACCAGCGGAGGCGCTCCCGGATGATCTTGGCGGTCTCGATCTGGATCCACTTCTCCCGCACCAGGTGTTCCCGATACTCCAGCATCGCCACCGGGTCCCCATACGGGTTCTTCGGGTCGAAGTTATCCGGCGGCTGCTCGTCGAACTCAACCTTCGCCTTGCGCACCATCTTCTCCGATCGCCGCCTCGGTCTTTCGATTGTGTGGGGAATGGGATTGGTGTGCTCCGCTCATTCGGATGGGAGACGAAGCTGATGGGGTCCATGAGTCCATTATGCGAACCAGGCCTGTGGGCTGTTACTGACTAGAGTCGGCCCAACAGAATGAAGCGTAGGTGGGCCAAGTGACCAAGCTCCGACTCCCGTTCCCCGAAATCGGCACGCGGAGGCACCGGTTCGCACAGGCGGAGAGGGGCGGATCCGAGAAGAGCCTACGCGATGAGCTCCCCGGCGAGGTCGACCGTCTCGGCGGCGAGCGGGGGAGCCGTCTCGGCCGCCGAAGACGTCGCCGATTCAATCGACGCGCTCTACCGCAAGGACGAGGCCATGGCTGGTGATACGCCTCTTTCCCTTGTGCAAGCCCTGGCATGTGAATGCCTCAGAGAGTCAGAGTGACTGACCGATTGGATTGGCCTTGCAGAACTCAAGTCTGAGGTGATGGAGGCGCTGCAGAGGGAGGTGAGGTCGCTCGACGACGACAGCTGGATGTTCGCCGCGCCGCGGTCCCGCATCAACCTCGTCTCCAGGCCTGGTAAGAAGAGAACACAACAATAGTAGTGGATTCTTCCTCAAATTAGTTGCAGAACTTGGTTTTCTGATTAGTTTTTTTTAATCTGTATATATGGCATGAGTTTAGTGTTCTTGTTCCTGATGAAAGAGCTGTGTACATTCCTGATACGATTGCTACCGATTTTATTTGTATCCCATTGGGGGCATGTGTTTATCAGGTGCTTACCTGCCCAAGCAACACGGGAAACTCTCGGAGCTGGGGCAAGCATCCAAGAAAACAAGGAACTTCTAGGGTGTAGATGCTTGTGCTTGCAAGAAGCCTAGTCCATGAATCCATGATGTGTAATGAAGGCTGGGATTCCATCTATGCTGTAGCATCAAGGATGATTTGGTCCAGTTTCAAACCAATCTGGTTGCTTCCTGCTTATTCAATTTCAGGCACATGTAAGGGTTTTCGAGTGATTGAGATGTCAATGTCATGGTATTGTTCATGACTTGTGCCTTTCCTATCTTTTACAAACTCAGCCTGCCTTATTTTTCTTACATTCATGATCCATCCTTTTCTTTCTGATGAAACAGATATGCATGATTTCTCAAGAGGCACAATTGCCATTTTAGTTGGAGAGACAGCAAATACATCGATAAGCATTGAACAAAGTTATGTTGTCTTTAGTTCTCACAATCACCAGCATTGGAATACCTTTAATTTGGCTGTAAGTTGAAAAGCTTGCAAATTAAAATTCATATCTTGGCATAAAAATGTTAAAAACATAGATATGTTCCTTTCTGTCACACCCCAGAATTTCCAATTTTGGGTTGTGAATAGAAAACACTTAATAAAATAAATGGTTTTGATATTTATATAAAACTTCTCAAGATTTAGTCCAAGTTAGCACAAATTTAATTATAGAAAAATGTGAATTTTCAAACTTTTCCATACTAATGTGATGGGCTTTGGTTGATGTGATGTTTGTCTATTGCTTGGCTTTGTGTTGTGAGTGAGTGAAGTTTTCAAAACGTGTTTAGTGAGTCATTTACCTTTCTCCGGCTTGTCTCTGTCGATTTCTGTAATCAAATCCCTTGTTAACGAGCTTAAGCCTTTGTTTGGAGCTTCCTAAAATCTTTTGTTTGTAATCCAAGTCACTCTTTTGAGTTCGTCATCCATCAACCTATCTCTGAAATCTTCCCCTGGGCTGTCTTTTTGTATGGCACTGTCCTATGCCTCATATTAATCTGATGGATGCCTGATTAGACGTGTATCATTTAGTGATCTTAATGGCTTACTCTTTCATTATACCTACCTTAATGATGACAAATGTTCATCTATACAAGAATTTTTTCGTTACTAAAACTTCTGTTACCTGTGTTGAACTTGACAATGAATGTGCACTTGTGCAGTGTCTTAAGGTTTTTTTTTAGGTCTCTGTACATTGGTTCTAAAATTTGTTTTGCTTAATTGGCAATGCTTATGTGTTCTGCAGTGAAAGCAAGGCACTTGACAATTAGACTATCCTGTATGATAATCCTTTTGTTTTCTATGACTTTTCTTTTCTTTTTGTCAAATGTAAATAAACGCTGCCATACACCAATGCATATGAACAAAATTGGGAAAGCTGTAAAGATGGTGTGAATGATGTAACAGTAGTCGGTAGGGTCTTCGTTTTAGCTTTCTTGTAGAGGCCATCCTTTGCAGTGCCTTCAGAAATAACTTTTTGCTAGTACATACGAAAGAAGTTGGCTTTGCACCAGTCATTTCTTCCAGAGATAGTGTTCTTTGTCAGTATAACATTGAAGAATGATAGTTCAACTTGTGCTTGAAGTTGACTTTGCGCGTGCATTTTCCATCATGGGTATAGAGTAGTGGAGAAAGTAGTTGAAGATGTTGGCAGCCATACCTCCTTTTTCTTATTTTTATTTTTATTTTTTTCTGTTTAATATAGTAGTCTATAATGTCAGGAGAGTTTATGATGCCACTTCCAGTTCAATATGCTATGAAGTAGCGTATATTCAGTTACTTGTAGATTTACTGAAGCCTTTGCTTGCCCGTAAACTAGCAAAAACACTGAATAATTGTAGCCTTCCCTAAGATCAACTTTCCTGAACATGATGCTCTTCTTTTTTTCCCCTCTCATTTGAGACACTGGCTGATTACATAAATTGATTGGATGTAGTCATGTATAAAATTGCAGTCCAATGTTCCAGTGGTCTACTGTTTACTCTGGTTTGACTACCCATATGACAATAATGTCTTTAGTCACAGATATTCTGTTTACTTTTTTGGTTTGGCATACATACATTGTCCAGTGGTTGCTTTGACTTTGCCTTAGTATATGCAGGTTCTATCTCTGTGATGTCACATGCATGTTTATCGACATGCAGTTGGTAATCTCAAAGCTATGCCACAGAAACTGTAGTCAAGAAGCAAATAAAACAAAACAATAATTTTAAAGGCTAGGAAGTGATACAATAGTCTCCTTTAATCATTTGAAAATGCTACTGTTGATTCTATGGTAATATCAAACAATAACTCAAGATTTGCATATCTTGTTGATTTTTTATGCAACGGTTATTATTTAACCTATGGGCAATGTTGGCCTTTGCTGTTGTCTTGGTATTACCTGATAGCCTGATATTGACCATTTGCTTGTCGGCAGATCTAATTCTGTCTGCTTTGTGTTGTGGGGACCTCTCCGTGCAAGTGATGTTCTATGGTTGCTGGTGGGTGTTTCTTCTATTTCCCGTTACTTGTACCTTTGGTGGTGCCGAGGTTCCATCTTGTTCCACTGTAATGGGGCGTGCATCAGGATGCGAGGCTTTTATTTATTTATTTATTTGTGCGCGTGTGTGTATCATGCTAGGTGTCGGTGGATAATTTGGAGTAATGATTGACAGTGAGTATGTAAGGTGTGTTTAGTTCGCGAAATGAAAATATTTGGATGTCACATCGGATGTTTTGGGGACGTCGGAAGGGGTTTTCGGATACTAATAAAAAAAAAACTAATTACATAGCTCGCCTGGGAACTGCGAGACGAATCTATTAAGCCTAACTAATCCATCATTAGACAAATTTATTAAGCCTATCTAATCCATCATTAGCGTATGTTAGTACTGTAACACTTATGGCTAATCATGGACTAATTAGTCTTAAAACATTCGTCTCGCGATTTTCAACCAAACTGTGTAATTAATTTTTTTTCGTCTATATTTAATACTCTATATATGTGTCGTAAGATTTGATGTGATAGTTTAGGGTGAAAATTTTTGGGAACTAAACCAGGCCTAAAACGAATAGATCTTTTTCTGCTCTTCTGACATTACCACTGCAGAGTTGCCATGGTAGGGTGACGACACCGACGTTGCCATTTAAACTTGCTGTCTTCTATTTTTCTTTTATCAATGGATGGTGGATGCATGCCCCATTTTAAACAGGATATGTGAAGGCACGTTTGCTCGAGAACCATGCTTGTCACTCATTTTCTAAGGCTATTAAGGTTAGTCTTGCAATATGTTGTGTCAATAAAATTGATCATCATAGTTAAATGTACTTTCTCCGTCCTAAAATAAATCAGTTCCTAGAATCACTCAGAGTCAAAGTGTTTTAGGTTTGATTAATTGGAAACAAGTAACATAAATATATATTAGTGTTCTTTTTAATAAAATTAGTTTAGTTTAAAATAGTTTGACTTTGGACAACTCTAAAAGTTAGTTTAATTTATCGGAGGGACGGAGGATGTAAGAAAATTCAGTTCTCAGTCAAATGGCCAAGAAACTAGACTAGACACAAAGTTATGACGGTAACAAAATACACAAAGGCCCCGTTCGCTGGTCTGAAACTTGACTGAAACTGACTGGTTGTGTGAGAGAGAAATACTGTAGCGGCTGAAAGATGTATAATAATTTGTGAGAGGAACCAGCCGGCTGATCTGAAAAAATCAGACCAGCCAATGGCGCCAAAGTTGTGACGGTAACAAAATACTCCTATAGTTTGTTGTCCTTGTCCAACACGTTGTCACAGCATCATGTTGTCAATGGCCATGGCCCGTGGGACACATCTTGTTGCTGTCCTAAGGTACTGTGTTTAAGCCTGCATGTATGTTTGTACAATACCTTTTTAGTAAAGAACTAAAGAACTACCTGTAGCTGTAAATCATGGGGGAATCAAATCCAAACGCAAACGGTGAAGTGCCCCATACTTCTCTGACTCGCTATCAGCAGTTGGGATCGCTGGTAAGCATGCAATGCAATGCAAGCCGAATCATTTGATTTTGTTGGCTTTCCTTGTAGCTCTGCTGAGTGCTGACTCACTACCGGTTACCCCAGTACCACCAATTCACCACCCAAGCCGAGGACCGAGCATAGCTTGGTTGGCTCGCTCGCCAGGTATGCCAGCGGCCGTGCATGAGTTCGATCTCCTGATCGACACTCGCGAGCCTCACCGGGGTCTTTCACTGATAATAAATTTGCTGGTCTTGAGTATCTGCAGCCTCACACGTGGATGCGGGTTACGTGTCTGTCGTCAGATACTAGCAGTCTATTTAGCTGACTGGAAAAATAGATGACGGTACGGTTAATAGTTCAACTTGTACTCTAAAAGTCGAGGCAAAAAAAATTCACCACCCATGCCCGGTGAGTACTCCACTCTGGTGGGGGTGGGGCCTGTGGGGGTCAAAGGACCGCTGGAGGCGGCTTGTGAGTTGCCCGAAGGAGTGAAGGCTGCTGTGCAGCTGCACCAGGACCGCCTGAGCACAGCAGCGAGCTCTCGGTCCGTCGGTCGTGCACTCGTGCTGACTGGCTGGGCACGCACACACATGTGCCGCTGCCCGCTGGCTGGAACCAGCTCAGCTCCGTCTCCTGAGCCGCTCGTGTTCTCAAAACTAATCTCTACAACTAAAAAGACCCGGATGTATCGTTTTCGTCCCGCTAATCACCGCTTAGCTGCGCTAATCGCCCCCGCTAAACAACCCGCCCCACGCGCTTCGCCCCGCCACGATCTCGGAACTGCCGCCCGCGCACGACTCCCGCCCACGCCGCCGCTGCGAGCGTCACAGTCCGGAGCATCAGGACGACCACGACGCACCAAGGCTGTGCCATCTCGGGAGTTATTTTGTTCCTCGCGCTCGCCACGCCGCGCTGGGAGCTGCTCCTCTTTTCCCCTCGCACACGCTCCATCTGGAGTTCTGGACACCGCCCTAATCCACTGCGGAGGAGCCCGATCTGGTGGGAGGAAAGTGTGCCACCGCCCTGTCTCCTCGATCTCCGCGCATGCAGCCGCGATTGGGCGGGAATCGACGCGACCTGCCTCATCCCGCACTGCTGCGACCGCTGCTCCCCGCCCGCCGCCTCTCCTGGGGCCTCGTGCCGCGCTCCCGACCTCCAACATGGGCGTTGACAGCTGCCGTGGAGGGAGGAGAAAGCGTAGCAGCGCCGGCGAGCGAGCAGGCCGTTAGAGGATCAGAATATGAGCACGAGCGACGTGGTTTTGATCCCCGATTGCTGAGCCGCCTCCTCTCCCCATGTGTCCTGATCTCGTAAGATCCCTTTGCCCGCCTGCTCTATTTTATGCAATAAAGAGCAAATTCTGCCTGCGTTTTGGTTTTGGCTGTTCATCACGATTGCTACGGTGAGAATAGCGATTAGGGTTTCGAGGAGGATTATTGGGCGTACAACTTGCTGGCTCATTTGAGGCTGTATGCGGCTTTGGCCTTCGTTCGATCATTTTGTACGGATATCAAGGGTTCAATAAGTTGTATTAGGTGTGGGATTTGTGACTTTTTTATTTTTATTGGCAAGCCGCTGAATAGGCTCTTACAGGTTCACAACTCCCAAGTCCCAACCCTTTTGTTTTTGAAATGAAAAGTTAGCAACAATACATCACTGGAGAATCATAACTAGAGACTAGATGACAGGCACACAAAAAATCAGCCTGTTCGTTTGCTCGTAAACGATCGTAAATTTCTAGTCGGGAATAGTATTTTTCTCTCACATAAAACCAGCCAGCAGTAAATAATCCACGATACGATACGGCCTTCCGAACAGGCTGAATGCTTATTAGTATTGTAGAACCATCGGTCTTCACACCACCACACTGAATTTGTTTCAGTTATTGTCTCCTTACCTTATGGTTGGTGCAGGGACACACAAGATGTTGCATCTTAGCTGGGTCAGCGTCTCGCCATACGTCTCGGAGTAGCCTGTTCGGCTGGAGCGGCTGGCTGGCTGGTGCTGGCCAGCCCTCCCACGAGGGCACTGTTCACGTGAACAGTGCTTTCAGTTAGGAACAATATTTTTCTCTCACATAAACTAGCCAGCAGTATTTTTTCACGAATTAGCAACGAACAAGCCAATAGTTCCAAACAGGCTTTGGTCTGTGATAATCGCCACTGTTGTTTCGCATTTGTTGGTGTGGTGACAATTTATTTACTACACAGTCCATGAGGTGAACAAGAATATCAGCTTGAGCCAGATAAAGGCTATCAAGGCCAGGGCCAAGAGGTACAAGAAATGGAAGGACAAGGTGCCCACTGCGTCCCACAAGCGTGTGCTTGAAGTTTGTTTTCCCTCCTCAATACTCTGGGGGGACCATCCATCAATGTGATATCTGCGGCGCCGCTAGATTCATCTTTTGAACAAATATGATTGTTTCCTACCATGTAAATGCCTGTGCGTCGTAACGAGAACATATAATACCACGATAATATATGTATGAACGTGTGTTATATATTATCTAAAATAGATACCGTAATCATAATGTTCCAATCAATATTACATAAGTCTTCACGAAAGATAGATAATTAAAATATAACTCTACATTTGAATGCAAAACTACAACATCAACTTTAATTGTCGCATCACTTTATGCCTATGATACGCGAAAGATAAGCTTGCACTTCTTTATGAATCAAGTGCTACGGAAAGATAATCATAACAAATTTGTGTTTCACAATACATGTTTTAGAATCTATTATACAATTAAGAATATAATCTTTCAATAGTTTGACTAAGAGAACGTGCTTTGCACCAATACCAAGCTGCAGTTGGTCACCAATCAATGATGATCCAGAAGATTTTCTAGTCTAAAATGCGGCGTCTGACTTCTTGCAGCTGAAGCATATGTTCTTGTTCAAACAAATGAGCTTACTCTGAACTATCCAAAATGCACTGAATCTAAAGCACTGCCATATTGCAGAGATAGAAAAAAAAGAAAAGGAGCACATTTAGCTTTCAGTTGAGTAGTTGACCATGGTGTAATGAAAAATGTAATTATAAATATTATGGTCTTGATAACCGATCATGCAAAGGGAGACTATTCTAGTTTCATAAACATTCTCAGAAAATTGTCGTCGTCCGTGTGCTTGAGCGGGTGGGGAGGGCGCGGTGCCACGGAGACTTGAGCGGGGCGATTCGGCGACGGCTCCGCTGGTTGTCGTCGTCCGTGTGTGTCGACGAAATATGGTCGGCAGTCTACCTAGGGGTATACCCAAGGTAGTAGATTGTCGGCAGACAGATGCGCAAGCCACAAACAAGACGGTGACGCAAGACAGACACAAGGTTTTATCCAGGTTCGGCCGCCAAGAAGGCGTAATACCTACGTCCTGCGTCTGATTTGTATTGCTGTATGTCAATGATAGATGTTTTTAGAGGGGTCCCCTGCCCACCTTATATAGTTCGGGGGGCAGGGTTACAGATCTGGAAACTAATCCTAGCCAGTTACAATTGTCATATGTGGCCGGATAAGGATTCCTATTCTAACCGACCAGGATCTTGATTGATCGCCAAATCCGCCTTGACTCCTTGCGCGGGACTCCGATCAGGTTAACCGGGCCGCACGTCGTCTTTTGGTGGACCGGACCCACCGATCCGGGCCGGCCCAAGCTTAGCCATAAGGGTATAGGGGTTAATACCCCCACAGCTAGTCCCCGAGCACCATGTATTATGCTGCGACGCGCCATTTTAACCTTCTCCGACAAGTAAGGCTTGAGTCCTTGATGTCTCTGACCACCGTTGTCGCCGGAGAAGTAGGTTGTCCGAAGAATATATGGTGCTCTTAAGAAAAAAGAAAAAGATTTCCGTCCTGGGAAGTGTGCCCACTTGTATTTCTGAACAGAAATGTAAGTGCGTCTTGGAGCGTAGCGTCCTTGATCATCAGAGGCGTAGGGGTCGAAAAACAAACACATTCACCGCAAGGTGAAGTGTGCCCACTTAGTCCCCGAGCCTGGTAGTAGGTGACGTAGGCACGTGGTGCCAGGGTCTGAAAAGAATTCCCAATTAAGTTGAGAACCCAATTGTCGTACAAGCAATACGAGATGCACCGGCAGGTGCATCGTACCGATGTAGTCCCCGAGCTTGCTGGAAGGAGAAGTAGGAGCCTTGTAGCAAGGTCTAAATAAATGTCTCTCAACTGTATGTGAGTACAAATCACATGTAGCCGAGAAGAACGATCTCCGAGCAGTGGTTGGGACAGTCCCCGAGCACATCAGTAGCCGGAGCAGACCCCAAGCGTGGCACTGGTCTGGACAGTGCCCGAGCACGGCAGTGGTCTGGGCAGTCCCCGAGCACAGCAGTGGTCTGGTCCATCATTGAACTCAAGATATGCAGCCAAAAAAAGAACGCCGCTTGTATTATTATTTGGTGTACTTATTTATCTCCTTACTCTGTCAAGTCCAATCTGCCACGTCTGGTCAAAAAAGCAGACGGATATAACATATCACTCTGCCTTCTTACTCTTTCTGGCAAATAGTCGCTTGGCGCCTGTATGGAGGTGCGTCAGTGTGGGCCCTCTCACATTATCAATGAAGAGGCGCGTACACTAGAAACGAAGAGGCGCGTTTGTTGGCGTAGATCTCGAGGTTGTGAAAACAACCGTTTGCGGCGCGTGCGCACGTCTCCCAAGAATCTCGGGCGAACAAAACGACGGAGCCCTTGGTTATTTATAATATAGAGCTGATAAGTTACTTTTTACCGATCCCCATTGTCATTCACCGCCGCAACCTTCTTCTTCCTCTCGCCGAACCCTACTCCTCCGAAAATCACCACCAATCCCTCCTCCACCGCATCCACCCTCTTAACAAGGGTAGATTAATGGCGAAGAGAAACGCCCAGAAGAAAGGCGGAGTCATGGCGAAGGAGTGGTGGAAGTCAAGGAGCAATGAGCAGACCATCGAAGACCTCGTCGCCATGGGAGTGCTCCACAACAAGGCACTTGCGGGATGGCGTGCGCCGGAAGGAGAAAGTTTCCCCGATCCACAACCAGGTGAGATTGTGGTTTTCGAGGATTTCTTCAAGCGGGGTTTTGGGGTTCCAGTGCACCCTTTCCTTCAGGGGCTCTGCTTGTATTACGAGATTGGGATTTGCAATCTGCATCCCAACTCGATTCTTCTTGTCTCCACGTTCATCCATCTTTGCGAAGCTTATGGTGGCTTCCATTTCATTTCGACCTCTTTTGCCATCTGCTCGCTCTCACGGAAGAAAGGGAGCGGAGGCTCAAGATAGCCGGGGCGTATACCTCAATCTGCGTGGATTTGTATGAAGGCCCAAGACTGCAGACCGCCCATGGAACACCTCACCGGATGAATGGTACAAGAAATGGTTCTACATCCGCTGAAGAGCCGAACACGATCACCACTGTGTGACGTGGGGTTGATTCCGGAGAAGAAGAACAAATGGGTCGGAGAAGCTTGAGCACTTGGAGCAGATCACGAATCGCTTTCGGGTTGATCCTGGGGGGGAAAGCTGGATGGTCCAAGCGTGGTCGGAACTTCATCACCAAGGATCCACCACCGCCAAAGAGAGGGTACATCCCGACTTCGAGTACCAGGGTAGCGCAGATCCGACGAGGACCAGGAAAGAGGCGCTCGACAAGATAGAAATCAAGGCTAGAATTGGGGAGCTATTCAATCTAGCCGACCCCAATTATGTCAGGTTAAACGACATCGAGCACGCCTTCAAGTTGGCCCGACCTCCCCAAAGGTAAATGATGCCTCCTTGTACTGTAGATTTATGTTGTAACAAAAATTGATTGTTGTCTCCTTTATGTTTCCTGAGTAATGGTCATGACCGAGCAGCGGCGAAGTTAATTGTCTCCGCCCCGGGCGTGGATTGGCCACAAATTGCCGGCTCAACCGCCCAGACCGGTGCGATGATCAAGACGCCGATCGGGCGGTACTTGGAGTTGGGGAGGATGTAACGGCCAGTGGCTGGCATTGGCAGCGCCACCTGCCAACAAACGTCGCCAGAGCCATCTTCCCCTTTCGCACGATGAAACAGAGGATGCGGACATCTTCCGACTCATCCCTCGAAAGAGGAGGAGACAAATGGGGTCAACAGAGCAGGGTAGCTCCTCTATGCCAGCAGTGATCGCACCATCGACCACTGCAACACAGAAGACAAGCGGGGGAAGTGTCGAGCACCAAACCCCGACGCCAGTACCGGTGGTGGAAAAAGACCCGGT